AGCCACAGGCGCCAAGCCTTTTACCTAAGTTTAAATGATAGTCAGCTTGGCTTTATTTAGTCCCTCTCCTTAGATTCAGACCCAAATTTCCAACTGCCCATTTAGCACTTTCACATGATTGCTTCTCAGGAAGCTTTAAGTCAGGAAGACAGAACACAAACTCTCAATCCTCTCTCCATTCCTCAATCTGCTTTTTTTTTTTTTTTTTTTGCAGTTTTTGGCCAGAGCTGGGTTTAAACCCGCCACCTCCAGTATTTGGGGCTGGCGCCCTACTCCTTGAGCCACAGGCACCACCTCCCCATCTGCTTTTCTTCCAGAGTTCCCTCCCATGCTCACAGCAGCAGTCTTCTTCCACTCCTCTCTCTTTGTCTCCCCTTCTGACTGCAGGTTCTACGGAGCTTATTTCTGCGAGGTCTCATATCTAGCCCTTCCTTTACATTTCTACTGCCCCACGTGAGTTCTCCCTCACTTCTCATGAGGATGGCATCACCCTTCTAACTTCTATTTTTGCCCTCACCATCTGCTGCCCAAACCCCACCCTTCCTTCATACTGCTACTAGAAAATTCATCCTAAATACTACATCTACCCCATCCCAGTTTTATTTTAACTGACATAAAATTACATACATATTTACAGTGTACACATTGATATTTTGATATATGTATACACAGTGAAATGATTAAATCAGGCTAATTATTATATACTTCTGATCCTATCATTTCCCTCCCCAGTGGCTTCTTCTTTACCTATAGAATAAAATTGAAACACATAATGTAGCATCCATTAGATCCAGCCTACCTTTCTGGCACTTAATAAACCTTGGAGTCTAGCCCAGTAGGTCTCAACTCCGACTGTATGTTAAGACTACCTGGAAAGCAATCTCTGGGGATGAGGCCTGGGCACCAATATTGTTAAAAGCTTCCTCATGACATGTGTGATGGTTCACACCTATAATCCCACTGTTTGGGGAGGCTGAGGTGGGAGGATCACTTGAGGCCAGGAGTTCAAGACCAGCCTGGGCAATATAGCAAATTAAAAATTAAAAATTAGCCAGGTATGGTCCAGCCCTGTAGTCCTAGCTACTCAGGAAGTTACGACTGGAGGATCACTTAAGCCAAGGAGTTCAAGATTACAGTGAGCTATAATCAGGCCACTGTACTCCAGCCTGGATGACAGAGTGAGACCCTGTTTCTAGGCAAATAAAAAATAATGCTTCCCCCAAATTCCTAATGTGCAGCCAGGGTTGGAAACCCCTTGTCTAGCCACAGCAGACTACTTGTACTTATTTATCTTGTGATACCCCATGGTCCACCACCGTGTTACCCCATGGTCCACCATCTGGGAGGTGGTGGAGCATAGCTTTTGTGGGTGTGGATTCTGGAATGACTGCATGAAACAAAATTCCAACTCCATCACTTACTGGTTGTAGTTGTGTAACTTTGGATTAAACGCTCTGTTCTCCAAAACCCCTTTCCCAATCTTCCTGGTCAGAATTAATCTCT